ACACTGCTGATCCTAGCTGTATGCAGGACGCGTATCATATGAACTTCGTAATAGACCTCGCTAACTGTAGAGTCTCTGAAGTAGACATTTTTTTCGCGTACTTTTCCTGTTTGTCCTCCCGGAGTTTTAGCAAGTTGTGTTTGAGCTTTCGTTGGCGCAAATTTTTTATCCTTTGGTTAAGAATTTTAAGAATTTTCGGTGTTTTTATTTCAGCCAAATTTTGTGGTTCATTTAACAAGTTTAATACATATTTTCTACGGAGTTTAGACTCTACCCTCTTTTTTCGTAAATGGATTTTTCCAGGACCCTTTTCCTCCTTTTTTCATGTTTCATGATGAGAAATGACTCATCATCATTCGGAAAATATAGACTATATACGAGTAGTCCATCCTTTTCGGCGAAGTCCATCGCGTAAGTACAAAAATCAGTGAGTCGCGTGGGAGTTCACACCTTATGGGGATCGTGATACCCTGAACGGATGTTACCTTTTAAACGAAAGTGCAATTTTCTCTATTACTCGCGCGCGTTTTAAGATTTTAACTTAATTTTTCGTAGATATAAGTTTAGGTATTAACGTAATTTTAATCGAAAAAACTGTTTTTCGGCCAGAGTTGACCCGCGTCCAGGTTTGGAGGTTAATTGCGAGAAAGATGAAGAAATATAAGTGTTAACCGTCTCTCGAAAAACCTGTACGGGGAAAAATATGATCATTAAACTGACCTGTACTGATTGTATCTGTTCCCATGGACTTCATTTTGTTTCTGATCCATTGTCACCCTTCTTTATTTGCATGATTGCCCTAAAAGTAATATGAAAACAATTTCAATGACGATAAACAACCACTAAAAATTACAACAGAGTATGTTTAGCGTTTCACCACACAGCACTAGGCTATTACATGAGGTGGCGGGATGGCTCTGAGAAAAAGTCGAAAGTTTAAAATTATGACAATGATTTTGTGGGAGGGGGAGGGGGAGGGGCATAGTTCAAATTTACCTCCCGCAGCAATAATCGTTCCTTAAATATTTTTATTTTACTTTTAAGACATATTAGAGAAAGGGAAGAAGTTTATATTCTGTCGACAAGGGTAGCCACAGTACTGGCCAGTTTAGGTGACATTTTAACAGTGGGGTTAAGTGGTGCAAAAAATTGTTGTTGTTTTTTTTTTTTCGGTTTTCAAGAAGAACGCTTTCTCAAAATTATTTAGAAATAATAAATAAATTTTTGATCCTGCCCATAGTGTGTAAATTCTCCATAATGTTCTTATACATGTTATCTGGTTCTCACAAGGAGAACATTTCTAATTGTCAACATGTTCAAGAGCGTCTTCAGTTGGCGACATTAGAATATAGCGACCATTTCCTTCATTCACGTGACCTTAATGTTTGACTCAGTGATGATATTGTAAGTAGATCTTAGATGCTGAACGCTCTTAAGGGTTAAAGGGCTAAACTAGATTATGAAGACAGAGTCTCACAGGATTACGCTGCTGCGTACAAGTAATTCAATTATGAAACCTCTAAAGTTTCCAAGTGTCACTGTTTCGGTATCGTTCTAGCTTGTTGTAACGGGTGGAGAGAAGAGCTGAAGCTCTCTCAACTTGACACAAATTGTATGTAACTTATAATGAACAGCAAAAGAAAGAAGCTGAGTGACTTACTTGAGTTCAAAGAAGACTAAACCTCTATCTTCTCGTGGTTTGAATATGCAAACCTCCGATGGCTGACTGTAACTTGCATGCGCGCGAGGACCGTACTTTGCACACCGATGATCAGCATTTAAGACAGCAAATGTTTTTACTTCTACCGTCAGATGTTCTACCTGTCAAGGACATGTAACTTTTCCAACCAAAGACTGCAATTTAAAGCTTTAAACCAGGCAGGAGAGCGTAGTTCTTACTTCCACGTGCAAAGATCCTGACACAGGTAAGATGAATACTTAATGAAGCACATTTGCAATTCAATTAGAACTTTCTGCGTGCCTCACAATCGATATTGAAACTGACGATGAGAGGAGTGGGCCAGAATGTTTATCTCTGATGTCTAAAATCCTTATGCGAAAGAGATTTTGCAAATGTCATTCAAAAATGAAAACGATTTCAAAAATCGTCGATTCGTTTGTAAATATGGACAGTCTGAGTCACCGTTTTTTGTCCTTTTTCTCCCATAATTATAAAACAGCTTATGGGAGCATCTAAACGTTCGAAGATGACATTTGCCGAAAAAGGTGATTGCTACAGATATGTAGCTTACAAGGTCATGGTTAAAAAAAAAATTTCTAGTAAATTTTTTGATATCAAACCACTCCAGAGGTGCAGGTAGCATCAAAACTTCTGTGTCCTACCCTGGAAGTGATAACATGAATGGACTGATTAGGGTCACTCATCTTGAATTTGTAAAAAATCTTTGCTGGTACTGTTTGATATTTTGACTGAAGATCTAAAATGAAACACTCTGTCATTTATTTTGAGAATTCAGTGTCTTTCTCTAGTTGTTACTCATCAGATTCCAAAGAGATCATCCAAAAGGACCGCTATCTTGGAAAAACTTGACAAAGAATCCTCTGGGACGAGCTTGCTTTGTCCACTAGTAAGCATGTCTCCGCTATTTAACAATCCGGCAAACTCCTTGTCAAACTCGAACCCAATGTCATTCGGGCTCTTGGTTAGCTGTTTACGACCGTACCGCTGACAGGGAGCCGAAATCTCGAGCCCTGGATCATTTTGGCTCCTTGTCAGCGGTATGGTCGCCAAGTAATGACCTCAAGGAGAATGGAATTTTTATCCTAGAAATTGTAGGATTTCGGTTTTGACTGCGCATGACTGGTTTCCGGTTGACCCCGGCGCATGCTCAAAATAGAGCACACGGTCCTCTACGCCAGCGGAAGAAAAGAAGAACGTAAATTACCTTGGTGTTGGAAAATACCGAAATATTGTAAATTGTACTATTTACTTGTTCCAAAATAACTTCGGGACGCAAAAATAAATACTGTTACTTAATGTGTTATATTTTGAAACATTTTAAGACTTTTACTTGACCCTGAATTTACTGAAAATACATGCATGTGAATCAAATATCCACATCCCACCCAAAGATCAAGAGAAACAGTGAAGCGATAATATAATTTGAAACTTGAAACGATCGGAAGCCTTGAGTTTACTTTAGCTTCTTTCTTTTACATGATTCAGTTTGCTAAATCAAGCTAGGGGGTTGGTTTTTATTTGAAAAAAAAAACCCAAACAAACAAATATGGATGGTTCACATTTTGCAATTTTTAGTGTGTGATGTTTCAAGGTTTAAATGAAATAATTGCTTCACTAAAAAGAGAGACGAGTAAAATGTTTTATTTTTTTTTCAGTCTGTGACAAGTCTTGGCTCCAAATCTTATTAAAAAAAATTACTTAAACTGCACTAAAATGATATCCACCTTATGTTGGAGTGTTCAGTACCAAGGATGGTAGTCATGATTTTTTGACAAGGTTCAGTTCCCAGCATTGAGCATTCATCACATAACTATAAATATCACACACAAAAGAGGTACTTGACTTCCATCTTCTTGTACAACAGTACGGCTCACAGTGGCCATGAAATCGAGCATGTCAGGAGCTCAACCTATCCTTTTTTTAAATAAGCTGCTCCGACTGAAATAATCCGGGGAAGACTCAAGGGAAGACTTTGTACTGTAATGTTGTTACTATGCGTGACATAGCCTTATATGGGACCTTCCATATATGGAAGACGATGTGCGTGAGAGAGGAGCGAAGGTCGGGGTGGCGTACGAGAATAAAAAAGATTTGAGTTATCCTATCAATTGTTCGGTTCTTGTCCGCCTGCGAACCTCGGGAAGTTACAGTACTATTCCTTGTTACATGTAAGACACTAAGGCTAGCAGTTCCAAGTTTCTGTACACATAGGCTTCTGCACTGTTCATCAATCTCCTCTAGAAACTGATATTTGGCACATTCTTTGACATTACAAGTAGGTAGCGACATGATAGTTTTTCTTTTTGCAGCTGGAAGGCTTGTCTGCAATGCAACCAAAAGTATATATATTTCATCCTTTTTAATTCAGTATTTGCATGTTCTGTCAATTAAGTATTAATTAAATTTAATTCTCTTTAGAATAGTAAATATTTCCATTTTGAATGAATTTAACTCTATTAAACGTTTCTGATCATAGTAAATTGGACAAAAATATATCGACATGGAATTTTGAATGACATACATGTATATTGTAATTGTGAAAAAAATAAAATGCTTATCGTCCTCAATCGTTGGTGTTGAAATATCAATCGCTAGAGATAAAACTCAATCGTTAGTGCTGTTAATTTTATCGATGCTTACCTGAACCAGTCTCCCGCTTGTTAAGCAAAGATGAACCAATCAAATCTTGTTTACTTTCTTGAAATCTGATAAAGGACATTGAAATGCGAATAAAGGTAAAGACAGACCGGTGTCACAGCGGATTTGGACCTCCCCGGGGAGGCCTATATTTATATATATCTTGACATATTAGACCTTTTGCGTACATATAAACATAAGCGGGATTGTTTTACTTTTCAGTTTCACTTTTGAATCCTTCTCGATTCTTTTAGTTGCCATATCGTTCGAGACAGATTGCTATGTCATTCGAACGATACGATAGCGCTGGCCGTGAGCAGGTCCTCTTTGCGCAGGAGAAAATTTGCCAGCTTCTCGAAGGATGTCCTATCTTCAAAAAAATTAAGGAACGTTTTGGACGCCTTTTCAGTATCATCCCTTGTGGAAGTACTCTTGAAGGAACAGAAGTACGTGGGTCTGCTGACATTGATTTCATGCTGATTTTTTCAATGAGTTCCTATCAACTGATTTCTACTGGAGACCAAGGTTAGGATCAAGTAATCGACCGTTCTTTTGAGTAAAATTTGGCACCGTTATTTATTTCCGCTTTAGCAATTCGGGTATAAAGATAACGACGTAATATGTGACTATTGCAGCCTGCCAAATAATAATGAAGAGAGGAGCTGTTTTACGCGACATGAACGCAAGTACCGTGTTTAGCAAGATAGATCTCAAGTGGGGTTTTCACTAGTTTCTACTCAGCGAGGAAAGTCGCCTCATCACTACGTTTGTCACGCACAGAGGGCTGTATCGGTACAAGCGGTTGATATTTGGAGTGACATCGGCACCAGAGAAATGTCAGCAAATTATCAGAGACATGTTAAGGGGTTGTGCTGGGGTTGCCAACGTAGCGGACGATCTTAAAGTCTTTCCAACAATTCACGCCTTTGAGTGACCACATGTCAAGTTATGTTAACACTCTGAAAATCTCCAATTGCTGACGGCCTATAGAAACACAGAAACGTCCAGTAAAGTCTCAACAGACTCTCATCAAAAACATATTTTTCGGGTAACTACCCAACAGTTGAGATTCTTTCGCCATTCCTCGTCGTATTCCTTACCTTTTTTAAATTCCATCACTGGATTCTTCTCCTTTTTATCTTTCTCCACTCACATGCTAGGTTTAAACGCAGACAGATAGCAAAGAACTCCATTTGCAACCGAAATCAGGAGATGTTAAAACGTTTGGAATTGAAGGATCAGGATGTTCTGCCGCAAGAAACATCTCACATTGGTCATTTATGTTGGCATGTTACAATTGACCATTCACACTTTGGCGGGTTAAAGAATTTAGTTTGAAATACAATTTTTTTAACAACTCGCCCGATTGATCCCTCCCGTAAGTCACACTTCCTGGGTGGAATCAATTACTTTCCTATTATTTTGAATTAATCTATTTTCCACGAGGTCATCATTTGGCGATGACACTGGGCTCGAAGATTGCTTGAGACCAGGCAGAAGAGGTTTCTTCTCAGCAGGTAAAGTGTGCTTTCACTTGATTTGCACATCTTTTGCATTGATTGCCATCTCGTAGCACAGGCGGCCCAAGCTCACGTCTCGAGAAAAAGCCAACGATGAATTCATGAACGCGTCACGCGTTGTGTGACTCGGTGTTAAGTTACAGGAGGAACCGTTGAAAATTTGAACACGTTATAAGGCATAGTATGGGGAACGAAATATGGTCGATTTACAACGATAAATATTTCGAAATCTGAATATTTTACACGTAAAATCAATAAAAACTTACTCATGCCCTGTGTATCCGTCGTAGTTTCTAGCGATTTCTGCTGTTTTAAGCTTGCTTTACCATCACTGTTATCCGTCTTTTGACATGGATAACAGTGATGGTAAAGCAAGCTTAAAACAGCAGAAATCGCTAGAAACTTCGACGGATACACAGGGCATGAGTAAGTTTTTATTGATTTTACGTGTAAAATATTCAGATTTCGAAATATTTATCGTTATAAATCGACCATATTTCGTTCCCCATACTATGCCTTATAACGTGTTCAAATTTTCAACGGTTCCTCCTGTAACTTAACACCGAGTCACACAACGCGTGACGCGTTCATGAATTCATCGTTGGCTTTTTCTCGAGACGTGAGCTTGGGCCGCCTATGCTCGTAGGGGACTTTTATTGTCGCGTTCCCAGCACGGCAGACACGGGGAGAAGCATAACTGAATCCGCCAGGTCAACCACAGTGCAGTTCGGGACGGACAACAGACTCTTACACACGTTTATTGGACTAAATCAAGTAATCAGGGTAGCCGACTTGTTACAACACTTCCGGTGAAAACTTAAACACGAAGGCGCGCTATAAATAGCTTGGCTCCTCCCCTTTGTTTCAGCTCAAATGCAAAACTCATCCAATATGGCGACCAACGGTCCCACCATGAGTGAAACGGTCTGCATAAAAGACACACTTTAAGTGTTTTTTTGTGTCAATAAATTAGAAGATATTGCGTGTTGTTGACTCTAATTCCCATAATTGAGCTCATTTTGATATTAATTGGCATTAAGTTATCGTTCGGCCGCTCAAAGCGCGATCTGCGGTCGACGAGACACTCGTACAGTTGTCTTTTCAAAATTCGCGCCGTGTAACTTCGGCTTATGTCCCAAGCCCCTAATACACATTGGTTCTCCGAGCCTTCAGATTATTCTCATTGAAACTAGCGGATTCATGAAACATTCTATGCGCAATGCTCAGACTATTATTATTTGTGACAATATTCTGTGACAAAACCTCTAAAGTATGGATGATTTCGCAAGTAAGTGCGATTTTGAGACAGAATTTCACAACTCTAGTTCAGTTTGGGGAAAAGTCTTGGCTGTCGCTGCTCGAAAGATATTTTTATTGGGAAATTTAATCGTTATGGCTGAGGGAAATAACCCATCTGTACCCAAGAAAAAGCGTCCAACGGATCGAGGTCCTCAGTTCTCGTTCAACATAGAAGTTCCTCGAACTCAGGAGAGCAGACTTCTCGGCATCAAAGACCGCATAAAGATGGCCAGAGGCTCGTTGAATCTCACAAAAGCGACCACAAGCACACAGAATGCAGATTTAATGGAAGCTCTTCTGTTAGCTTTTGAGGAGAAAATTGAGAGGAAACGACTGACATCGAGCGATCTGAGCTTATCATCAACGGGAAGTCCGAACCCCTCTCTTCTCTCTACACCATCCACAACTGCACGGTTTTCGATTCCTTCAGCTTCTTCTACTCCATCTTCGCGTATTTCTTTGCCTTTCAGTGATCCTTTTTCTCCAATTTCTCTTCCACAAGCAGAACGTACGCCACAAAGAATGCAAATCACTGCATCTTCAGCAGAGAACGACTCCATATATCTCTGCAGCGAAGAATCTCTGCGAACTCTGTTTTCTTTTTTCTGTAATACGCTATCGACATCATGTTGTTATTGTGGAAAACCCCTCGATTGCGAATCACTTGTCTTCAATCGACAGAGTCATGTCGTGTCAGTGACAATTTCATGCGTTGGTGGAGATTCTTTCAAGTGGCTCTCCTCCCCCATCATGGGAGGATCTCCTCCAAAGTACTATGTAAATTTGAGGTGAGCACTCTTTCATTTTTTGCTCTAAATTTACTGAAATTTATTATCTCGGTATTTTAGAGTTTTTGTTTTTTGTAACTGGTCACTTATCTGTCTCTCTTTTTCATAGATTGATTCATGGAGTATTGTCCTGTGGCTTGACAGAGACACAATACACAAGTTTCTGTCAAGCAGCCAACATCGGGTCAGAGGGAGAAAAGACCTTCGACACAGGTTAGCAATGCACATTCTCAGATGCTCTGAAAATCATGTAGTCTTTCTCCTTGCAAGGAGAAGGCAGTCAACAGCAGTTTGCAGGTTGTTAAATCATGAATGTTCTATCAAGATAGCTCAAACTGACTGAACTGTTCCTTCTTTGGTTTCTGCCCTACCAGATGCATTCTAAAATACTTCTATTTTTAATCACTTCAACAGTCTTGAAAAAGCTTGGTTACTTGACAGTCGTGAAGAGGGTTTCCAATGAGTCGATGTTGGCTGCTCAAGAACAAGTGAAGAGTAACCCTGCATATGCTGTGAATGGAGAGGTACAAGTAGTCATTTTAACTTCATTTTGTCTTTGGCCACATACTTATACACCTGCCATACTCGGAGTATATTATGTAGACTGGCACGTACAAAGATATAAAATCTTATATCAGATTGTAAATCTTGAAAATATCTGTGAGTAGAGAAATGTGACCATTTTTATGTTTTGATTTCTACCATTTTCCTGCAGTGTGTTATAACAGATGCAAGGCATGATTCCAGTCGATCAGCAGCACACACAACAGTGTCAGCCCTTTCTTTCTCGTAAGATGCTTTCTACTCGATTTCTTTGTATGATATGTTGAACCTCTATTATGTTCAACACCATTCCTAAAATCATTTCATTTGCACTGATTATCTTTAGGACCAAAAAGGTGTTAGCAGTTGTCAACTGGAGTAAGGCCAATGAAACTTCAGCAGTAAGCCGTGAGGTCCCTATGACAAAAGAGCTGTTGACTTATCTCTGTGAGACACAAGGTATGATAAGTTTGCATCCTCAATAATATCATATCACATATGTAATACAAATATGGAGATCAGAAGTATATTTTATAATGCAACTAAAGTAATTCTTTTTTCAGGGTTCCATGTTGCAGAGGTGGCACATGACTTTGTATTACAGCTAAAAACATGGATCTTGTCAAAAGGAATGCTTAATTCCTTTGACTCTTGGCATGGTACTCAGTATACACTTGTATTTTTTGGCTCATTTTGTCTTGATGATTATGACTATTTCTTGAAAATTAGCCTTTTATTGGTATTAAAATTTTTTGTTTATTTTCAGGTGCAAAGTCTGTGACTAAAGCAATGAAGAAAGTTGCCTCAGGACCACAGAGGGATGAGGGCTCAAAGTGGTTTTTTGAATTGTCCGACAAAAGTAAGATATCTCTCTTATGAGAGTCATCGGAAGTTATATTCTCTCTACAATTATCTGCAGATGTCAAATTCCTTCTTGATATGAGATGAATACAATGGAATATAATAATTGTGAATATTTTACAGTGAAAAGTACAAGGACTCATGTGTACTTCTGCATGAAGAACAGTCCACCCACTGAAGAAGAATTTCAGGGTACACTGTTGAATGTAGTTGACCATTACCAGGTAATTTGAATGACTGTTTATTGAGAGAACATAGTATTTTGTTTTCATTTTTGTAAGTACCTTTTGTTGTGTTATTCTAGCAAGATATGACATGATCATTACCTCAAAGATTGCACATATTTCTTTAATAATGGTGAACAAGAGACATTATATTTACTATAATTATTACTACTGATTTATTAATCTATTTTTCCATAACTTGGTGTATTTATTACTCAGGGTAATCATGTCAGATGCCATGCAGAGTCACGGTGCAAGCAGAATGGCTATGTGATGAGCAAAAGACTGTTAACTAAACCTGAAGCAGTAGCTGCCTACAGGAAAGCCATTATGAGCACTTCAATTTATAGGCATGCATCAGACTACATGCGGGTAAATAATTGACACATGCTGTATGTTTATGTTTCTTTGCATGAAGAAGTTTATCTCTTCTTCCAAATTAATGATGTTGAGGTAAGGGCCATAAATGAGTTGAACAAAATAATTCATTTTCCAGTTAAAGAAAAATCACCCATAATTTGTTGCCTTCTTTAGTGCAGGGAAACATATTGGATTGAGTCTCTCCATTCAGTGATGCTCATTTATGCTGCAAAGCGGATTCATTATGGGGATGACTCATACAACATGCGCATGGAGTTAGCCATTCTTGATTGGGTAAGAAACTTATGTTGTTAATTCGTCAAAATAACTTTGGCACTTTTTGGATTCACTGCTTTCTCATGCTTATTGACTCATTTGTCTTACAGAATGAAAATGTGAATCGAGAAGCATCGTCTCTACAGATGTACCAACATGCCAGGCATCCAAATCGCTTGGCAGAGACCAGGGTGCTTACTTCAAAGACATTTCATTTCAGAGAAACTATCTGGTCTACCTTTTTTAATATAAACAAATGATGTCTCATCTGTTTTCCATTGCACCACAGTTTCTGTGATAATTACAACTAGGAGCCCAAATGTCCTGTAAAATATGTGAGGTCATTAGGGAGGACCAATTCTACCAACTGCTGGTACTAAGTGATGAAAACATGAGTATGAGGTTTGACACTAGATATTTTCCAAGCAGACTCATTATCTGTTACTTTTCTCTGCACTGTATATCTTTTCCTAACTTATAGGAAAGTCACTATAATTTGCTGTGTGGACATTATAAAATGGACCATAAACAATTTGGTGCTTGGGCTCTCTTTGACATGGGTATTTGAATGAGAATTTTATTATTCCCTTTTATGCCCCATATAGGGAATACCAGGAGGGTTAGGAAACCTTGACCTCACATCTTTTATAACACAATTGGGCATCCTTTCCCGCACAGCATTAACGTGGTCCCCCAGTTCGACTTTTCTAGCCTGATAAATAGGGTCTTTCCAGAGCCCACATTTGTTCAATGCTCTCCAGTACGTCTTGTAATCTTTTCTTCGTCGCACGTGATTTTGAATATATGCTCCGCGATAGCCAAGGTATTCGCGACTGTCGGTCGTTACACATGGCGTTTGCCGACAGTAAATACACATTTCGAACTCGTCCCCTCTTGCATCAGCTATTGTGGAGACAAAGTAAAACAACTATTAGAGCGAAAGCGTAACTGAACAGTCATGAAGTCTGATATGATCGTACAACTGGTCTTCCCGCCTGCATTTTATTTTGGACAATTTTTATGTACATTTTTCATGTTTCATTGACAAGTTTGCCCAAGGTGTAGTATAAAATATTGCAATAAATACAACCTGTAGTTCTAAAGAAATAACTCCTTTCAAAACATTCTTAGGCAGGGCAAAACGTTTTGTAGGTGTCACGTCTATGTCAGGTGCCTCTGGTTTTCGTCATAATGTCAGGCAAAAAACGGCGAGATTACAAGGCGGTCCTCGATTTAATATCCATCCTCCCTTCTCCACCGAGAGTCACCAAGGTAATGGACTTCGAAAAACTGTTTGGAGCGCACTCCGACAGACCCTCCCAGGCGTTCAGCTTAAAGGGTGTTCAAGGCTATAGTTAAAAGTGATAAAAGGGTTCACTTCTAAATTTCGTAACGATGTCGTATTCACTGTTCGGAAAATGAAGGCATCAAAAGGAAGCAGTCTAAGACATGAACTGTCGCATCATACGAAAAAATCTGTGGTTTGCAAGTATATTCTAACTAGTATTTCCTAGTTTGTAAAAACTCTGCAATTAGTTACTTCTGAGAAATTATAGTGTTACGCGAGTGTTTCAATCTTGGTGATACATTATCACAGTGATTGTTAGTGTCGAACTGTAATCCTAAGTTACCTTTCTAATGTATTGTTCCAAAGGTCAAGGATCATCCAGTATTGTTGTAATCATATTATACTTAGATTAAAAAAAAGAAAAAGAAATCGTACCATTTGTGGAGGAAGCCCGTACAGATGATTCGTTTGGCGACATCGACGCCTGGACATGTTGAAGTGAATCGGTGGTCGGCGACGGTTCACTCGCGCGCAACAGAACTTCGCCTGCAACAGTCGCTCTGCTTTTATTTTTCTTCCGCTGGGTTGACAGCACTTCCCCTTCGCATTGTTGAAGAAATGCCTTGAACATTTCTTCATCTTTTCTTTTTATTCTTACAGTTATCTACATCCAGTATTTGGAAACAGACATGAAATTACGCAATGGCAATTTTGGGCGATGGCGAAGCGAATCATTTCGAATTTCAAATTTACCGCCAAAAACGAAGACGGTTTCGTTCGGAGGAAGGTAATACAAACCTCAACAAATTCTTCCATTTTGATGAAAACGTAGAAATTTAACGAGAAATGCGCCTCTGGTCAGTGCCTTGCATTGACTGCAGCTCAAGCTGTTTTGGAGTTCTGTATGCCACGACGGTTGATTGACAAATGATCCAGAGGTACCTAAGGCACCTCTCCTTTTATAGCGCGCCTTCGTGTTTAAAAGGAATGCACGATCTGTCTAAGTTAAGGAAACGAGCTAAACTACAAATCTGACGACAGAAAACACAACTAACGATCGTGACTTACGTCTGATCTCGGCTCCGGGGGTGAGAAAACTCCAAGTTGTAAAAAAAGACTCCGAAAGATTCCTAATTTGCTCCAGGGACAACTCCTTAAAACTAAAATGTTCGCGTGAAAAAAGGCCTAATATACTTCTATGACGTAAAGGAAACTAAACTGAAATAACTCTTTGAGCGGCTTGCCAAAAAAGGGTATTTTATAATCACGCAATCAAAACGAAACAAGGCTACATTTTAAGAAAACGAAAGATCATATAATGTTCTAAAGCGTTCTTTGTACAGCAACGTGACATGTAGCCGTTTACCAACAGGCTACTGGAAAGCGCTTTTAGTAATTAATTCACCATACGGGATAGCTGCATACCCACAAATATGTCGTAGAAAGAACATGCCATCCTACCACTAACAAACAACTTGTGGTTGAAAGCCGGTTAAGACAACAGGACAACAGGCAAAAGAATCGTCTTTTATTAAGATTAAAGAATCATATTACGACATTCATAACATTAACCAGGACTCCATTCACGAGCGATGACAGATTGATCTCTATAGTTTGAAAGGTTATGGAGTCGCATTACAACACTAACCAGGACCCCAATAACTAGCGATGATAAGTTGATCCCCTACAGTTTGACATGCTTTCACACATTCCCAACAGGCCCGGGCAAATAACGCTGCGGGAGATGATACTTGCAGTAAAAGCCATATCCGTCCTCTCATGCTGTGTAGGAACGTTTTAGTATGAATAGCCTCTTGGGTCTTAACTTTAGGCCGCCCGACGTTCTGCGGGCCTTCGACAGATGTCCACCGATCGTCAGAAACATTATATATATACATAAGTGTTTTGGATACATATCATATATATACTTTCGAACATATATATACATATATACATTATATATATATATATATATATATCCAACTGTTTCATATATATTCTCAGGTTAGGATCAATAAATATATACATACACACATATAACTGAGTTCAACACTCTTCTCTATAATCAATTTATATTTACATATGCTGTTTGCTCTAGCAAATCAACACATGTACTGATGTACAGGTACTAGTTTGTGGATAAATATTGATTGAAACATACGTGTTATTTGTGGAAGTCTAGTTCTTGTATTGTATCGTATGTTTGTTTGGCTATCATCAATGAGTATTACACTTCCGAGGGCAATATAAATATTACAACTCAGCTGTTAATTTTTCAGTGCAATTTTAATGGCGTATGTACACCTTGTGGTGCAATATCACGCAATAACCCCATCTGCATAACCCTCCGAATGGAATTATCTGTTTCTTACAAACGTTTTGTATTATAGTGTTTACCATGATCAAGCTTTATGGGTCTGACAAAGTTTGGTGGAGGCTCAAAGGTTGTGCTAATGAACAGGGATTTCTGAATGCTACATCAGTGAAAATGCTATTTGTTCGTTGTGTTGAAATGGCTGTCTTTGTACTTCAGAGGTACGGATTAATTCCCAAAAGCCCTTTGGGAAGAATAAAGTTCAAATGTGACTCAGGCATATCACCTTGCTGTTTGCTGAGGCAGCGAAGAAATAAATTTCAAACACTGTTAATTCTCTGATGCTGTTTCAAATAAATATGGTGACGAGTGATGGTGGCATAGTGTAGAGAAATTTTCTATTGAAGTTTTATCATGCAGTATAGAATAACAAGGGGATGCATTTAGGGGACCCCCTTAATGAAAGGGAGCTCTCGAGAAAGTGAGAAGAAGAACTTAAACTTTGAACTGCAATGGGCTTGTTTGCCAATTTGACCCTCCCTGCCCCTCTAATGTGTTTTCAACTTTAATTTTGTTGAAATGTCACACCAATCATAAACACAGAAGAAGTCCTTTTCAGGACTAACCTTACGCACCATGACAGACCATGACACCTTGTGCAATCAACTGATTCTCCTGGGTTTTGAGTAATTATTGTCTAATTAACCAGTTTTTAAGAATTCAAAACATTTGACATTTTGGGGAGAGGCTATGTAGTGAATTCAAGACAACATTTTGAGACAATATTAACTCCGGTGTTTATATTCAATTCCAGACATTATGGTGATGTTGTTGTCGTCGAGGAACATGGTCCAGCAGTAACCCTGAAAATAACTACTCCAAATGGAAGACATATTTCTGTGGACTTGACTTTGGCTATCCGAGTTCAGTGGCCTGTTGTTGCTGAGGAATGGACCACGAGGCCTCGAGGTATCAGATTTCTCAATCTATGCCATGCTTGTGTTGGCTACTTCAAGGGTAGCAGGTCCTTTCAAGTGGAAAAGATTACTACTTAGTAGAGAGCTCCTTTAATTTTCAAGTCATGGGCTTCCCCCAGTTTTCCTCCCCCCTTCCCCTTTTATTGACTCACTTGTAGCCGGTTCATTGTAGAGCAGACAAAAACTTTATGGCATGAATCACAATACAATTACTGTTGTTTTGAATCTGTTTCAGTTTGGCCAGATCAGAACCATTTACAACTAATAGTTTTTCAAGATGGATGTCATCTGGTTGCAAAGAAACCTACTGGTCCTGAACACTATAAAGATTTGTGCTGGAGGTTCAGCTTTTCAGCTGCTGAGATGAGACTGTTTAACTTGGGAGGTATTGCAGATGGAAATCAAAATTGTTTAAGGCAGGTTTTACGGAAACTGAAAACATTTGGGCCTTACCTGAAGCCCTTGTCTTCATACCATTTCAAAACAATCTGCTTTTACCTACGTGAGATGACACATTCCTTCTTGTGGAGATATGATTATTGTGAGGAAAGGCTTAAGGACCTACTTTTAATGCTTGAGAATTGTTTGACAGTTCAGTCTTGTCCGCATTTTTTTATCAAAACTTTTAACTTGTTTGAAGAATTTAGCCCCTTCATACGTTGTGACTTAATTAACAAAGTAAGAGATCTCAGAATGTATCTAGAGACACCTGTAGCAGGAAATGTTATCCAAGCACCTGGAGGAGTATTCATCTGTTGAAGATTTATGATTAAGTCCTTTATTAAATGTAGAGGATATCAAAGTTGAACAAGCGATGTATGTGTATTGTAATTTAATAATGTCTGGAATTTAAGTATGCAAATTGAGGGGACATTTATAATTTTCAGTACAGAAACAGAGGGGAATAGATACAACTTGTCCCGGAAATAAAACATACTACATTTTCCATCTTTTATTAGATTGCGATATAATGAAACATTCTTGGCCTGTATCAACCCTGAACATTACTTTTGTATGTACTATTTTTTATTGATAGATATATTTTTTTATTGATAGATATATTTTTTACTTGTACACTTTTATACCGCAATGTGTATATTGGCTGTTATTCATCTACTTTTTATTTTGTGACTAAATTCCCTTTGCCATTGGCATCTGTTCAGGGAATACATTTCCACTTTTTCTACCAATGGGTTTTTTACGTTTTTCATATCCAACAGTGCTACATCATTATCTTTTGATTTTTTACTGCTGTTGAAGCAAGGGCAATAGAAAACAAAATAAACCTAATCATGGATAACATTTGTCTGACATGTAGTGGTATAGAATTAAAATGAAATGATAGTAAACAAAAAGATTTCATGTAATTGTGGAAATTGGGTGTTTAATTCAGGTAATTGTAAAATTAACAAATAATTTTGTCATTGCCATGCATCTGATCGGGAATTTGATCACAGAAGACATCAAAATGCAGTAAGAAAATTAGATATTGCATAAGAACCAATCAAACTGCCCATACAATTCAGCCTATAAGCACCCACCCCCTTTGCCATAATATCAAACAGGTGTCTCCTCCCCCCCTTCGTCCCTCACTTTCATAAATAGTAAGAATACAAGGAAATCCTTTTTCTATTGCCACCTCCTTTTATAACTTTTTGAGCTTCAACTATAGTCATTCAGTACAGGAGAATGTTAGGTTTGTCTGATTCTTTTCTTACACAGTGAACGAAAAAGCATAGCAGCCCCACAGTGAAAGAAAAAGCATAGCAGCCCCATTTGGATGGGAGGCAGGGGAAGAGGGGAAAGGTTAAGAGAATTCGAGAAAATTTATGCAAACACCTTTGGATTGGCTTTAATTAACTTTTCAGTTACATTACTCATTTTTTTATTCCCTCTTCTCGGAAACGTACAATTATTCATATCATACGGAACATCAAATATAGTAGCCAAATAAGTTGGTTTACCAGAACTTTCTAAGGAAAACTCCGTGTTTTTGGGGCAGCTAAACTGACTCACTCTTGATCAGATAAAAACAACTTGGAATTGGTATCAACTTACAGAAGACCATGTTGTGGCAGGGGGAGACAGAAGCAAACCGGGGTGTTCTATCGAGAAAATATGGAATATAAATAATTGTCCTAAAATTGTAGCTGTTCCTTGTGAGAATGTATTGTTCGTTGTACAGAAAACGACAAATTTATCATCCAAATGCTTTGCTCTGTGGATAAATGCGAGAAGAAACCCGGAAATATAACCCAGTCTTCCGCGAGAATCTTAGAAGAGTCGTCACGTGATCAAAAGGATGAAACAAGTCGGAATGGTGTGAACTTATGGCAGACTCTTCGGTAGCGGGTGTGGACTTAAGTGAATCGATTCCTCCCTAGCTTACCCTTTTTCATCTTTAAATGCTTTTGAATTGCTGAAAAAGAACTCGTTTGAGGCTTCTGATCTGGAAATTTGCGACAAACGACTCGAGAAAATGGCTCGAATGAAGGCGCGACCTCTTCAACATACAACGAAAAGGAAATTGCAAGAACGCGGCGCTCGCGAAGGATCGCGATCGACTTCAGGCAAGCGAATAAGGCTACAGAGCCCAGCAGGACAAACATCTTCTTCGTTAGAGAAAGCAAAGAAGAATAAAGGTAAGAACTTCGTGTTATTTGAGCCAGGTTTTAGGTCGAAAGTGTGTGTCAGTTTCATGGAACTGTGGAACGGAAGCTTCGCGATTGCAAATGCAAGTTTGAGTTTAGACTTCACAAGCGGATAAGAAGTGAAATTTAACATTTCAGATTTTATTTTTCTAAATTTTCTTGATTTTCCTTGTGTATGGCATGTAGAAGGCTGCTGAACGGGTGATTTCTGGGATAAATATTGTCGTTCAACTGTCCACCAGAGTCGAGAGTCCAAATGGAAAGTAATTTGCATATTATTCCAAATACGAACAATGTTTTTGAAATGGGTCAACTCTTTCTTCATAGATCAGGAATTTTGTATGGGTCATAGACTCCTTTTATATGTGAAGGTGAATGAAAGGAAGGGAGAATTAGGATATCTTTTCGGGACCAAACATAACGGGACTATAAAACTACAGCTGTGAAGAGGTATTCCAATGTGTTATTCTGTGGGTGGAAATTTTTCCGAGCTTGAATTCTTTCAAACAATGGTGAGTTTTGATATAATTGCTCCTGTATTTATTGCGATGATCTGGAAAAGACGGGGAAAGTGAAACTGGTTTAAACTATTTTAAGGCATAGAAAATTTTGAAGCAAAACATGCCCACAGATTGTGGTGTAGGTACACCTGAGGTCTTGATGCATTCATGTTTGTTTTCAAAGGAACAATGAAACAAGGGAACAATTGAACGAGAACAAGATTATACACTCAGATAACTATTTAGATGAATGATCAAATGATAGAAATTTAATGCATCAATGAATTGTCCATAGTTAGCCTTTTGAAGTGATTGCAATACAAATTCTCTTAACTTAAACATTTTTTCAACTCTGTTGAGTAGACTGGTTATTAAAATCAGAAAATAGCATTGAGAATTGTATTTTCAGAAATAGAGTACAACTCTTTTGAGTGATATTGAAGAAATGTAAAATGGTTTCCGTGTTTACATAGCCTGATGTAAACACGCGGGAGGTTGGGAGAACACGAGATAAGTGTAGGAAACCACGACATGAAGCGGAGTGGTTTCCAGCTTATTGAGTGTTCTCCCAACCTCCCAAGTGTTTACATCAGGCTATGTAAACATGGAAACCATTTTACATTTCTTTTATAAAATAACTAATGAAAGAGCCTCTTCTTGCAACAAAGGAAAGCGACATGCTTGTTGTTGTTGTTCATTTGGCTTTTCGGCTGTTTCTTGAATACTGGGAAAATCAAACTCCAAAGAAAAATTAGGAAAATCTTCTTTTTCCATTACTGTACTCAAAACAAACTTAAAGAAACTGAGTTACTGCTAAATAAATAGCAGGGAGAACTCCGCGAGAAGATTCAGTATGAAAACCATGTTTACATACGCTCATGTAAAATGGTTTTATGGCCAACCAGAGCACGCATACTTTGAATTATTTTATAATATGCAGTATGTAATTGAAACATTGTGATCCACATCCAAAATGAATGTATCATTAGAGAAACAATTGCACTTTATGTAAAAAATATGTAGTTTTTGTGAATCCAAACAGTGATACATGTATATTGTTTCACTTCATGATTTGGTAGTAATTTGTTTCACACTATAGCTACATTGTAACTTATAAAGCTTTGATAAATGGAAGTTTAAAAAGGGTTGGATACACACAAGAAAAGTTCTTCCTCTTTGTAAAGTAGTTTGTTGGAATTTTACAGGTAGGCCTCGTAAGGTGCAAGAGGAGGATTCCCATCTCCCTCCTGAATTACGCAGAGCTGGAATATTAGCCCATATGCAGATACCTGAAGGAAGACGTTTTGGCCCATTCATTGGTAAAATTGTGGACAAGAGGAAATCTCCAGAGAAATTGTACTTTTTTGTGTCACAGGTATGATCAGAGGTAATAAACAACTGATGCAGTTTTGTCAAGTCACCCAAACTTTTCAGGAGGATGGCTTCTTACAAGAATTTTAAGATTGTAATCACTGAAATCTGTCGACCATTGTGCACAAATGCATCCTATTCTCAACATGCTGTTAAAATAATTTGGTATAAATAACTAGTCATTATTCAAGTATCACTTTATTACATTACAAGTGTGAACTCTTAAACTCCTTGAAGTGATAAACATGTGACTTCTCCCAATTAAATCTTTGCATTATCAGCCAACAGGTAATGAGAATACTCAAATTTATTAGGTTAGAAGTTGTTATCCTGATTTAACACCAAATTCTTGTAACTAATTTACAAAGGAAATATGTCGCAGCTAGATGGGAGATTTAACAATCAGATATTGGGAGTTAGAGGGTAAATAACTCTAGGTTTGAGACTTGTGTAGATCATTACATGTATGTGATACCATATGATGTTCTGTTGCATTTTTAGATCAAAGATAAAAACAAAAGAAACTTGATGCACTTTTTCTATGCACACAAGAATGAGAAGGACAAATGCAGTTGGCTCAGTCGTCTCCAGAGTGCTACATCAACAGCAAAACAAAACATTGTAGCATATAACTCTCCAGGAGGAGTATGCTTTGAAGCTGTTAAGGATATAGCTGTGGGAGAAGAGTTAATGGTCCTATTTGATAAATCATTTAAAGGTAATGAAAAAAAAATTAATACTCTGAACTCAAGAGGTATGGTACAAAGAAAAAGAATTGAATACTCCTGAAGATGTAATATAGAATGTGTTTGATTTGGGGAAGTAGCTTTACACTTGTTTTAATGTCTCAATGTGTTTTATCACTGACAGGTTCAGTGTATCCAGCCTATGTAGAGAGTGCACCATTGTCCTTCATCACAGATGATGCTGGTGAAAAGATTGCAGTGGTTCCTCTTGACAAGTCTGAAGTTTATATCAACCCTAGTACTGAGGGCAAAGAACCTAACAAAGATGGGAATAATGCAGGCCATGATAAAGAAATGGCTGACTCTCTCAAAGAAGGAAATCCAGAGGTTGTGGATGATGATGATGAAGACAACAGTGATGATGATGATGATGAAGATGGCAGTGATGATGTGGTAGTGATAGAAGAGTATGAGCTGTCTGATGAAGATGATGAGGAGGGTGATGAAGATGAAGATGAAGGGGAAGAGGAAGAGGAAGATATTGATGATGGCAATGATGTAGATGATGATGATGATTTTATTCCTAAGGGTGAAAAGAAGTTGACAAAGGAAACTGGGGCCAGCACTAATAATGGCGAAATTTCAATGGAAAAGAAACGTGGAAGGAAGCCATCAGCTCAGCATAAACGAAAGCCACATATAAAAGAAATAAAAATTCTTGACGCTGAGAGTGGTCAGGGTATGTCATCATTTTGTTTACATAACTCTTAACAAGAGTGTCGTCACATTTTTGAGTAACAGTTTGACATCAACCCTTTTATTCCTAGAAGTGACCAGCTTCTAATTTCTCCTTACCATATCTCCCCTGAATCACTTATTAAGATCACAAGAATAAGAGAAATGATCACTGACTAAAACAACTCTTGATTGCTAAACAACTTCTACTTGACAGCACCTAAGGAAATGTATAGAGAACAGTAGGGAGAATATGTATTCTGAGACTTTTTTGTTTTGATGAGTACTATTCTTGTGCTACATGAACATTCTTTTTGTGTTGATTCAATCTACTTGTACAGTTGTACTCTAATTTATATTCATGGTAAATCATGAGAGTCGTTGTCTTTGAAAAGCTGCCTGTTGGGAAAGTAAAAAAAATAAGTGATACATACATGTATTTCAACGAGGTATTTCTATTTTGAATTTTACAATGGATAATTGTACATTGTACATGTGCATCTCTTTGGTTAACACGCTTTAGCACTCTTGAGATAGAAACTGTGTATGTGATTTTGTCACCATAGACATTGTTTATCTGCCTTTTTATGCACAATTTGACATCCTTTCTTGTATGTGTTTCCATTAATTCTACCTTGAATAGATACAATCAAATACCGCTGTACCCACTGTTCGGAGGATTTTGGGGACAAAGTGAAAGCCACAGAACACAGCTCAGCTATGGAATGCCTTTCACAGCATTTCCAGTGCAAAACATGCACCATGGAGTTCAGAAATGCCTTTCTACTTCAGAAACACAAATGTAATGGAAAGCCAAAGTATGAAAATTGTTTTAATTTGAAAGATAAACTTTGCAATTTAAGTCAACATGACCAAAGTGTATAATTATATCAATAGTAAGAGCAATTTTTAAGTGGATGTCAAAAATGATCAGGAGTGCTTTTTTTTTTTTGCTTTACTCCACTTTGTGATTGGTCGAAAAAAGCTTCTGCCTTTCTCTTAACCAATCAGATGTAAAACTAAATCAATTACGGCTTGGTCGCCCGCGTTTTCCCGCGTTTTGTCGGTTTTACTTTGAGTTTCATTGGCTCTTAAATGGATTTTTCTTTCTTCTGATTGGCCATTGTGATTACTTTGGTTTTGGTTTTACGGCACTCAATCATAAAGTTCTCAAGATGTACCTTCACTTCATGATTATCACCACTTCTACTCAGAAAAAATTACGTTATCGTGTTCTGAGTATTGGAATCAATTGACACTCAGAATAACACTATTTATTTCCCAAAGGGATAAAAAAGTTGGGGCAGCTATGTCTGCTACTCTTTCTAGTCTTTTATTCTATGTATTTATTTCGCCTCTTAGCCTGGACTGATCAGTTCTGATTTGTTAATAAACGAATCACGGGTGAAGTTTCAGACACACTGTACCATATTACGGGTTCGTAAGCACTCTGAATTTTGTTATACATTGAAGAAGTAGGAAATAAAGAAGAACAAAAAATGCAAAACAAAAAGGCATAGAACGATCGACAAAGTTCACTTTTTTTTTCAAGGAGTAATGATGGATAATAATTTTTTTTTGCTCAGGTGCAACGTCTGCAATGAAGAGTTTGAGAATTGGAGACAACTGAAGGAGCATGCGGATAATCCGCCAGAGGTTCATGTGCCAAAGTAAGTCAAAACTTAACATTTACTTTCTCTTTCGTTTTTAATAGGTTATCTTGCGCAAAGGTTTTAAGAACAGACAAGTGTATCAACTGGAGGGTTTTATCTTGATCAAACATCAAATTCTCCTGTTTAATTTAAGAGGAAATCTATGGCGCTAAATGGGGAGAATTACTTATCGGATCTTGATTATCGAAGTGTTTGATATGTTTCAGTCCAGTTTCCAAGCCTATGCTTCCAGGGCTCTGTAATGTGATAAAGCTACGCGGGATGTTGGGGTCACAAGTCGGAGGCGAACAATTTACAGGCTTTCCTCGAATTCTTCCAACATCCCTCGTGGCTTTATCAGGTTATACAGCCCGGATAATGTGCTCTGTTGCTTGTAAGGATATACCACGCAGGCGAATAGTGCTTTTCGCGCAGATCTTCATTCTCAAAGGAAACCATGCACGCCTGCTTTAAATCAAATTTTAAATCGTTGATTTCAGATGTGCGAGTTGTGAAATGCAGTTTCAAACTGTTAAAGAGAAACAGTACCATGTCCGTTCCAAGCACGGGCCGGATGAGTCATCCGAGGAGTGTCCCATTTGTCATAAAACCTACAACAAAATGTACCTGAAGGAACATCTCGCGACCCACGACGAAAACAGTGGGTTGAAATGCATCGAGTGCGGCAAAAAGTTCTCCTCCAAAAGCAACTTGAACAAACATCGCAAAAAGCATCTACCTGGTTATGTCCCAGCCAAGGATAAACAACGGGAAAAAAAATATGGCTGTTCGGAATGTGGCAAAAAGTTCGACTCCATGCACGGCTTAGAGGTTTGTAGAATTTATGGTATATCGGATCAATGTCGTTATCTGAGCATTTGAGCATCTGCGCACCTACCCCTCCCCTAACCCAAAATTGACCCAAACTTGTTATCAGTTGACTGTTGTTGGGTTGGGGATGGGTAGGTGCAGCTCAGTTGCCGAGGAACTGATATTGATCCGATATATCTATATATTTTGGTGTTTTCCTTCCAATTGAGATACAAAATAAATTTAGTCCAGCAAACGTGTAGTGACTTCAAAATGTGCATTTACACCCCTCTCCTTGTTTTTGGTGCTGCACCGTAGCTTCGATCTAGGCCAAAAGTTTTGAAACACTGCTGCAAATACATGTGTAGATACCGCATTCTTTTCGCATGTAGTACATTATATTTTCCCCTCCCCCCTTGCAATATTTGAACTTTGTTCGTTTCCCTCGCGGTCAAGATTTTTAGGAGGAGTTGGGAGAAACGAGGTAAATCACTGTTAGAGAGGCAAAGTTATTCGTACGATGAATATAATGAAACTGGGATTAGCTACGTCACCTCTGTGTGAGCATATTACAGTACCTTTTCATAGTTTTCTGTATGAAACAGAACGCCATAAGAGATTGAAGCTTTGTTTTACTACAGAGCCACAAGCGAAGCCACACTGGAGAGAGGCCATTCAAGTGTGACAAGTGCTCGTGGAAATTCACTCAGAAAACGCATTTGAACCGTCACATCAGGAGTGTGCACGAGAAGGTGCCAAGAGAGCGCCATTCTGAAGCCAACAGACCTGTGTCTTGTGAAGTGTGCAGTAAAGTGTACGTCAACAGTCGTGTGTTGGCTGTTCATGTGCAGTCCGTGCACGAAGGCTTACGACCTTACAAGTGTGAGTACTGCGACGCAACTTACACTCAACGAGGTAAATCGTAATTCTTAACCCTTAATCCCTTAAAAGTGACCAGCATCTAATTTCTCCTTACAATATCACCACTGAATCACACATGAATGTCATGAGAATAAAGGAAATGATCACCAACTAAAGAAACTCTTGATTGTTAGACAAATTCTCCTTCTCAGCACCTTGTAAATGTACAGAGAACAGTATGGAGAATATGAAAACTGATGTTAGGGTGTAAAGGGTTAAGGGACTAGTCATCATTTATCTCCAGGGTAGGGGGTCTGGAGGGTTTTTTTTTGGGGGGGGGGAAAGGGGGGGCATATGAGGGAGGAATCAGTCGACGCCAAGAGAGATTAAAGAGGGAGGGGAGTATAGGAAATTAACTGCTAACGAGGGGGATTTCGGGAGACTTTGGTTTTGTTCATTTGACTTTGAAAATGCTCCATGAAAGGATCTCTACTAACGCTTCACCTGTTCTGTGTTTGCGAACTAACACTAGTTGATTATCTGGTTAGGTCATCTGTGGAGACACAAGCATGCAAGTCACTACGAGAAAGACGAAGTTCAAAAGAAATACACCATTGACAAGTTTGTCTGTCAGTTTGATGGTTGCATGCTGTCATTTGACACTCAGCCAGAGCTGATGGAACACGTCAAAACACACACCACGGACAAAAAGTGCATGTGCAGTGAGTGTGGGGCTACATTTGTCTCGTTCCCAAACCTCGCCAAACATACTAGGAGGAGGCATGGGGAGCAGGGAGTCGCAGACAAGGGCCATCGATGCGGAAAATGCATAAAGACATTCGCCACAAGTTATCAACTGGTCGTGCATTTTAGGTGGGGTTTAGTGGAAACTTACCATACACGGGTGTAATTTGTTAAAAGTTTTAATGAAGTGTTATCGTCTGGCCTTCGAGGTAATCACCATTGAGGAGGATTGCTAAGCAATTTTTTCTTCACTCTGATTGGCTGTTGTGATCACCATGGTGATGGTTTTTACGACACTCGATTGAAAAGTGCTCTTGAAGGTTGAGAGAGCAATCATTATTTATCAAGTAAGGGTGGAGGCGAGTCGGAGGATTTTTGCGGGAATCATATGGCTTTTAGGGCGAACGAAGTGAGGATCAGTCCTCGCTGACAGGGTATGAAGGATGGGGCTGTAGAAAATTGACTGCCAATGGAGGGGATCCTAAGAGTTTTACAGAGCCTGAGTGGGGGGAGGTGACGCTACTATATCCTCTGTCCTCCCTGACCAGTTTCTAAGCGTAATCTGCCGACTTTCATCGCCTGAGGGATACGTAGCGATCCAAATCGAAAGTGACTACATGATGGCCCTTCATAGCTTTCCGCCAAAAATTATTTTCGAAAAGTCAACGTTCATTTTTGTGAGCTGCTTTGATCCCTTTTCAAGTACTCTTGCGGGCTTCATTGACCTCGTGTAATGATAAATATTTTGATTGATTCCTTTGAATGATTAAAAGATTTTTTTTCAACTGATCGTCTTTACAGGGGCCATACCGGAGAGAAACCCTATAAATGTGATCTTTGCGGAAAAGACTTTGTTCAGAAGTCTGGCTTGCGGAAACACATCAGGTGGGTGAAAGGGTGAACTGGGAACAAAATAGGCCATTTCCGAATTATCTTTGGCCTCGTTTTCAAAGTGAGTCATGGTGCTCATTCTTTCATATTATTAAAAGTTTTCATTCACACTCAAATTAAACTCAATTTTATACGAATAGTTGAGCACCAGGCCTCGTTTCGAAAGGGAAGCCAAAGGTTATTCGGAAATGGCTTATTGGATCAACAATCAATTAGTGAAAGAGCAGCCAGTCGATTAGTTGAAAGTCAATTACTACAACAACAAAAGAAACGTTATTTCCCGTAAGTAACGTGAGTAGAAATTTTAGTTTCCGTCTTGCGTAACAATACCACATTGTTTAGCAAGTCTGGTGTCTTTTTCTCTGGCTTTGTTTCGGTTCCTTTAGCCTGTGGGTTCCAGTAATGATCAAACTATGCTTTTAAAAGTTGCCTGTTAACTATAAGTAATTTTTTATTATTTCACTGTAATACCTGTTTTTGCGAGGAATAAGAGACTCTTTGTATATTTGGATAGTTAGTCGTTTGTCAGTCTTCCTGTAAAAGAGTCACGTCCACACGTGGCTCAGTAGTGCAGTTACTGAAGCAGTCAATCTGTCCAGTTGCACCTTTTGCTGCCGATGAGGAACAATGGTCTCCCCAGAAGCTGTGATAACTGTAGACAGTAAGTTAGTCAGCGGCCGGTCAGTCCACGTGTCAGCTACATCAATGTTAGTATTACTATTTGAGTTAAATTTGTATTGTGCAACAGTATTTCAGTCAGTCGAATGATCAATCAATAACGTTATTCATCTGTCAATATATCAATCATAAAGGAAGTACGTTTCTAAAGAAACTGTGGTTCTGCGTCGGTGGGAGAGTATAACAGGGTAATTAAGTATTATCCATTGAGTTGATAACGTAAATTGGCCATCGTAAAGAGTTTCAAAGTTGACGTTTCGAGCTCTAGCCCTCCGTTTGTCGCTTTGACAAAGGGGTGAAGCTCGAAACGTCAACTTTGAAACTCTTTACGGTGGTCAGTTTTTATTATCAACTCATTTGATAATGCCAAATTACCCTGTAAGTATATCAATCAGCCGATTTGTGTACTCTTGTCGTCCTCAGATGTAAACGTTGTCCAATGGTGGAAGGTCGTTCGATGAACCCCAGGGGCGCCAAGAAATATGCCTGTGATCGTTGCAACAAGATGTTTCCGGGACCGTCTGACTTGAAATCGCACATGCGCACTCACACTGGAGAGAAACCTTATCAGTGCACTGTTTGTGAAAAGGGTTTCAGCCAGCCAGGGAATCTAACGAAACACATAAGGTAAGTTTCCGAGATGCCTAAAAGTTGAGATGGTTCGGTAGTAAGTGCTCTTGACGGCTTAATCAAGTTTCTCTCGGGTTTAATTCAGAAACCCACTTTGCAGTTAAAAGACAGCCAGCAGAGCAGGCGGAATTTCAACGAGCGAGTGCTCAGTATTTTCGTAGCGAAAATGACCGCCATCTTTGATTTTAACAACAGTGGAAGACTGAGAAATGAAAGAAATTCGTACCAAGGGTGTGAGCAGCAATAAATAATAAGGAGAGGGAGAGGGTGCGGGTTGGGGAGTGAATAGTTTCGCGTTTCCTCGCCCCCTCCCCTAACCGTCGACTCCAACTCCAAAATCAAACATGGGCGTTTTAGTGAACGATCGCGCGCTTCTTAACATTAACTCGCCTTAATAAGACGCCTGCACTGCAGGCTAGTTAAAAGAGGGCCATAATGTATTATCTTGATCATTAGGTTTGTTCACAACAAAGAACAGCGTCCCAAGGAGAAAAGTCGCGAAAAGAAGTATTTCTGCAGCCTGTGCGGTAAAGCGTTCCTGTGTCCCAGTAGTCTTGCTATGCACTGTCGCACACACACTGGAGACAAACCTTTTTCCTGTGAACAGTGCGGACAAGGATTCGCCCAAGCGGGAAACCTTAAAAAGCATCTCAAACGTTGGCATGAAGATGGCGCTGAAGGCAGAACAAGGTTTGTCAATTTCTCCGTTTATTGTGGTGATTTAGATGAACGATGCCTGAAAGTCATGGCCCATTAAGCTTGCCTATATTTCTACTACAATTATTTTTATAATTATGTTTTCAAGTGTAGCTTTAAGACCAGGGATTATTGCAGGCTTGTGTATCGTCAATTATCCATCACATTCGTCGTAGTTGCTTCAAGTCATTATAGTTTTCCAGTCGTTTTCTTCTGTCTTCTTTACCGGTTTGAGTCACAACTACTTTGAAGCTTTTCTGAACAACTGTTTCCCACTATAACACTGCGAGCTAACCATTTCAGATGTTGTTCTCTTGCAACAAATTTAGAAAGTGGCTTTAACGGTATTCTTTAACGTTGGGTGATTGAAAAAGAATTTAAACTTTGGGCGACATGTTGTCTCTAACTTTGTAAACGGTTTTGCACAGACGAATTGACAGTAAGGTATTAAAACGTCTAATGTGTTTTGTTAGACGCAGAAAGAAGAAGGGAAAGAACGCACCAGCTGAATCAGGAGAGAGAGCCGATGCTAACCAGGAAGGTCAGCAACGAGAAGGCGAACCCGGTCAAACGGTCACCGATGAGACACCCAATGACGGTGAACATGACGAGGTTGCAGACAGCACGCAGGCGGGAGACAGGCCAGTCGAGTTGAGCAATGCAAGCTCTCAGACAACTTTAGCCTCGTGCACACCTCTGAACACCCCGAGTCCTTTATACAGCACAACGCCATTGAACAGTTTGAACACCGCAGTCAGTGGCTCTCCCACTCCTATGATGCAAGTGGTGTTAGGCTTTCTCCGTAGCCAGCCGCAACAAACCGTCAGCGCACCTAGCCTTCATGCAAATGCGAATGCCTCTACGATCGCACACACTGGAAGAGTTCTCGGGACATCTTACGAGGCTAGTGAACGGGACAACGCCTTGCACCGAGGTATTAGCACATCTTCACCGAGTCTCCTACATTCCCAAGCAACGACCTCTCAAGGCAGTCATCTGAGCGCCATACCCGTTCAACAGCATCAACAAGTTGTCATCTCTCGAATGTTGGCTCCTACTTCCTCAGAGAGTACAGACGTCCCATTCATGCCCCCAGTGGTGGCAAGCCCTCCCTCTCACCCCAACCCCCCACCCCGGGCATCGATCCTTCTTCCACACGTTCACTCCCTCCTGAATCCCCCAGGGATGAATAACACAGGGGGAGAGGTAACTGTTTGGCCCTTCGCACCAAGCAACATGTTTTCGCCACAGTAGACTGAAACTTAGTATAATAGGCTGCTAATTTTTTCACCTCGCGTTCATGTTACGTTCATGTCACGCAAGTAGTTACTTGAGTAACGGAAGCCCGTCAAAATGTTGGTTTTAGATAACTTAACCGAAGTTGTAAGCAAATCTATTCCCATCTTGGTGAAAGTGTAATGGTCAAAACATGATTTTATTTACTTGTTCTAGTTCCTATAATTTATTAGATGTGCATGGCAGCTGTCCGTGAACTGAACCATAGGGATATCGTCCATACTGGTTTCTCCTCTTCAGATTTTCCTTTCTCTCTTTTATTTAGGAATAAGATTTAACTTTAGGATCTCGGTTTTATGTCTCAAACAAAGATTAGCTTGTGTGAGACGAGCTTGTTTAAGCCTTCGTCTCGCACAAACCGTAGCTAACTTAAGCCACGGCTTGTTCAAGGTGAACGTGGTCATCAACTTGTTTAAGCTGCTGCGTATTTGCCTCGTCTGTGTGCTGTTACTTATTATATGGTGGGCGTCTATGCTCTCGATCTCGGATCGACCCCATCGGGCGTGAGAGTAATCTGTGTTTTTAAAGGGTCCATTCCACCTTTAAATGAAAATTTACCTAACAAATTGCTAAAGGAAATCTTGAGAGAGGGTCAACTGCATTGATGAGCTTTGTAGGGAACTGTTGATATTCCCTTAGGCTTTGTAGTTGGGTGGCCCCTAACCGTTTCACTCCCAAGATCTCATTAGTAATTCTCCTTACTGTCTGCCATACAATTTGTATGATGTTAGTTTGGAGAATTAGGTGTTGGATCAACGAACAATTCACAAAATTGATATTTTCTTTATTCTCATTACTTGTCTGCTTGATATTGTAGAGATATTGGAAGGAGAAATTCTGTCTTGAATTTTGTCATGAATTACAGGGTTAATGCAGACAGTTTTTCTTAGTTCGAGAAATAAACGTTTTTAAGTTTTCAAAATTATTAGTTAGGTCCTTGTAAGTTGATATTCCTTTGAAAACATAGGTTGCGCCCCCTGATTGCAAACAAGAAGTATGAGGAATGTATAGGAAAGGGTAACAAGGAATTCTTTTGTTTAGGTTTATGTTTACTGTGAGGTAGACTATCTTTTAGTCAAAGAAACTATTCTTAAAATGTATATTAGATATAACATCGTGAAAAGACTGTTGTGCTGCGTGGGAGAGGAATCGAAACAAGGGAAGTTGATAGAAAAGGATCAAAATCAGTATCTGGGCAACTGCCCACCTACCCCTCCCCTAACCCAACATTAACCTTAACTTGTTATCAATAGATTGTTGTTTGGTTAGGGGAGGGGTAGGTGGGCAGTTGCCCAGATACTGATATTGATCCAAATTAACTGCAGATGGATTTGAATAAATGACTTTGCGAATGTGAAAAGTTCTTTTGGCAACATTTGACATTGTTGAGATTCAAAGTTGTTACAATATCAAGAAGAATGTGCTTATGGGGTTTCATAGCGAGCTTTTTCAAATCTACAAGAAAATTTACTGCTGGGGTAACTCACAACTTGACTAAGTGTTTAATTTAAATTCATGTCACGACGGAACTCAAATGGACAAACTGAAAATCCCCCCACCCCTTCCTAATAGTAACCTGTGACCACCTCTCTCGCCGGGACCATTATTACGCAATCTTCCCTTTTTTAATCACGGGACGTGTTCACAGTTATGATACTCTTGGATAGTCACGCGATACAGCTGAAATTCCCGGAAAGCCAGTCGATATACGTCCAATTTTTACTTCCTTCCAACTACCTGAGAGGACAGCAAATCTTTGTTTTATGTGTTATTCGAAGCGTTTCTTGTTGAGGTAACATCAATAACACAAATAACAACAAAATCCGTGCGTCGAAAGAACAGCTCTCAAATATCTGAACAGCGTAACGCAACTTGAAAAGGAATAAAAAATGGCGGTGCTTAGTCTCGATCCATTTCGGATTCTTTTAAACAACATCAGCAACGAACTGGAGGAAAAAGATCTTCAGAGCTTGAAAAATGTTTGTGCAGAGTGGATTCCGGGTGGTCAGCGTGAGAAAATCCAAGACGGTTGGGACTTTTTAAACCATCTCCGAAGGCTGAACATAATCGGGGACGAACCCGAGAAAGTGGCAAACTTGCTGATGATTATCAAGGTGCTAAAACGACGGGATTTAAGTCATCTGGTCAAAAAGCACATTTCGAAGTACTACGAGCAACCGGAGGAAATATTCAATTCAGTAAGGGCATCCGAGTCCCTTCACAGCTCTCTAACCGGAAATAACCAAGTAGCCTTGAACATAGAATCTACTGCATTTAGGTCCTCTACGCCATGCTGGGTTCTCAATTGCTTTTGCTGTGAGCTCACCTGTTACAGCAGCTGTCTTATATTTGTGACGGTCCTTTTTGCCTTCCTCGCCGTTGCAGCCGTACTGGCGTGGTACGCCAACATTCCTGAAGTCACCTCTTCTATAAAATCCAACGATGATTGGAACCGCGCCGGACCGTACATTATTGGGTTCTTGCTATTCATTGCAGTCTGCAGCGCTCTGGGGGTAATTTGCCGCTTTTTTTTAACGAGACGATATATTCATCTTAATAATGATCGTGAAGACAATCAAATATGTGATGGGAGATCCATTCATCATGGCGCTGACAACAACTCTGCAGTACCGAATTCAAAGGCTAGCACACCAGTGTGTACACGAGCAGGATCACGCAGTTCCTGTCTTGCTACCCCTTCCGGTTCGTTTTCTTCTCTTGATACAGCCGCAAGTATCGCTTAGTCGTGTGCAAAGACTCGGTATGCAGCCAGTAATGTCATTTTTCCATGAAATGGCAATAGATTTATTCCTGTTTTGCCAATCTTTGCTGGAATTATTTTCTGCTAGATCTCAATCCCTATTCGTATACAATCAATTAAACTTTTAATCTCAGACTTTGGGAGCACTTTCTTAAGATAAACATTTATGAATTTACCTCTTCGAATTGAAGCACCACATTGACTGTCTTGTTTTCTCTCCCTTCCCTCTCCCTCCTCTTCTCCTTCTCCCTCACCCCTCCCTCACGAAACAGTGATTTCCCTAGAAAGCAGCCAAGAAGCGCTTCTAGACATACCGCACAGGGGTACTGAGCGGAACTTCAGATTTACAATAACATGTGATAATTAAGAAGCATCAACAGATTAAGGCAAAATTGATATGTTGAGTAGATGATTACCTTTCAAACTAGTCATTTGAGCCCCTAAAAGGAAGTTTACATCGGGGAGTACAAAACATCTCTGGAATGTGCAAATGATATCTTTACTGGGGGAGCCAGAGTCCTTTCGTTTTCAAGATCAATTGATTGAAAAGATGGCAGCTGAATCTGCTCTCGATCCTTTTCAGAAACTTTTAAATAACCTTAACCACGAGCTAAACGAAAGAAATCTGGAGAGTCTGATACATGTTTGTGGAAGACATATTCCAGGCAGCCAGCGAGAACGAATTTCTAGTGGATGGGATGTGTTTAACATTCTGCGCCATCAAAACGTCATCGGCAGCGAGCGGGAAAAGATTCATAACTTGCTCGAGATCATCAAGGAATTAAGGCCTAAAAGGAGAGATTTGGTCTCCTTAGTCAAGCAGCATATTCGAGATTGTTATGAAAATCCAGAAATGATACTGGAAGACCTCCAGTCCAGCTGGGAATGTATTGGAACAGGACTTCCGGACACAAGCTCACGATCCTCGTCTACGATTAACGACGACGAATGTTGTCGTTGTTGCGGGTGCTGCTCTTGTAACTGTGATTGCTGTAATGCATGTTACGTCTGTGTCACTTTGGGTTTTCTTTTCTCTCTCTTGTTCATTGTGGCTGTTTCGGTATGGTATTACATCATCCCAACATTTACGAAAGTTTCGAAGTCAGACGGCGTGATACAGCATGCAGGTCTTCCTGTGGTTCTCATTTTAGCATTCCTCGCGGTAGTCAGCTTTGTATGTGCATGTTGCGTGAAGTTCCGTTTGCGAAGAAACGCCAGAGAGTATGATATAATTCCAGACCTACCAACAAAATTCGATATTAAAACAAGCTTTGCCACATCAGAATCCAGACGCATAAGTAGGTCCGGCGACTCATACCAATCGACAGCGCCGAGGCAGATTTACTGGGGAAGGTCCTGTAGTTCTGGGCAGTACAAAGCTTCCGGTGCAATAACTTCTAAATGTTCAAGAGTCTCTTCCCGTACTCCATGGCTCATTGAGGAAACAGATGCTGTTCCAGATGGCTTTCAACTGGGCTCGTTTTGGACTTCGCGCATGGATGTAGAAGAAGATGACGAAATTGAAGAGGTGTGACTTAATGCTTGCGAGTCTTTGCTTACTTATGCTGCACGAAGAGACAAGAGATTCAAAGATACATTTTATTATTTGAACGCTAGCTTGACAGTTATCATTTGCTAGAATATTACAAGTGTAATGATCCATGGAAGGGATTATAGTTGATTAAGTGTAATTTTATCTAGGGTGAATAGAGCGGAAATTCTTAGGTTGCAGTATTAGTAATTTTCTGAGAAAACGCCATATTCAAACAAAAATAGATTAAATGTAATAGTCAAAAATCTTTCCTCGACCTTAAAGATAGATTTCATTTAAATAACCAAACCTTTGTGAGATCTCATGTGTTTGCTATTCAGCTTTATGTACAAACTATTTCTTTTCTGTGATTTGATAAATTAAGTGTTAACCCTTTAACTCCTATGAGTGACCAAGACTGAATTTCTCCTTACAATATCAATACAATATCAAGCAGACAAGTGATGAGAATAAAGAAAAATATAAATTAGGGATTATAAATTGATCCAGTACCAAATTCTCCAGCTAACATCACAAGAACTGTATGACAGACAGTAAGGAGAATTACTTATGAGATCTTGGGAGTTAAAGGATTAACAACATCGATCGACAATATGAAAGGAATGAATGTTTTTGCTTTGAAATTTTGGGAGTTTTAGCTCTGTTTCCGTAAACTAAATGCAATCATTGTTTTATTCCTGAGTCAGCGAAAGCTTAACTGTTGAATATCACATGGTAGTCCAAACGTGTCTTTTAATAAAAATTAAAACTACAAACTTTTGTTTGTTAGATATGTTGATGCAAAGTTACCAATTCTCCTAAACTTGAAGTCTCATACTTTATTGAAGAAACAAGCAGAAAAAGTTGGAGAAAAATAAAACAAATCTAACCCACTCTGTCGCACTCTATTCTCACCAGGGATCCCTTCGAACAAAGGTGAATTTCAGCATGTTACGTGACTCCAAACCCCTGGGATTTCAGCATGAGAATGGTTATGCAATCTTTGACGCGTTTTTTGGCTATATAATCTTATTCCGGTGCGGTCAGTCCTTTATAACCTCAAAAGTCCTTTCCACGGCGTTTGAGGAGGTTTAGCTAAGGGCGCCCCTCCCTCCTCCCCGCAGCGATGATAGCGCCTACGCTCCAGGTAGCTACCTACTCACTTCCGCCTCGGGCTGGCCTTTCCCATATCTTATAACATCTTTGAGGCTTTGTTTGTGGGTAGCCCTGGTGAGAATATATTACTATACTTTCCAAGAATTTCGATTGCTTTGATATATTCTGAGAGAAATTTACGAGGCAAAGACCGCAAATCATGGAGTAAAAAAAAAAAAAAAAAACAGTATCACATTACATCTCTAAGGTTAATATGTATTACTTTTATGAACATATTCACTACTTTTTTTTTCATGTCTAAGAAACAATCTAGAATAACTAATTAAGAAAGAAACAAAGTATCAAATGACGATTAAAACTGAAGAGCTCAGAAGTGACTTCCGCTCATCCCAATAGTTAGGGGATTCCCCAGGTATCGAATTTTGTCCCAACACTCCGCGGTAGGGTACTGAAAGGAACTTCGTAAGCGTATCAAATTTTGGCTCTTTAGATACAAGAAAAGAAAACTTGGAAAAAAGGAAGGTAAATGAAGTCTTCTCTGAAGAAAATAATTATTCTCTGTGATGGAAATTTTTATAATAACGTGGTAACACTGACAAGGAGTTTCTCTCTCTGGGTAGTGCTAGGCACAGAATAGTGTTATGTTTGATGAAATCACGAGTTGATCACGCACGAAACGTCAAAGGCAACTGTTGTTCCCGTTGCTGCCGTTGCGAGGGGAATTTATTGATTTATCTATAAGTCATCAGCTAAGTGAAGGAATCTTTCGAAATGTTACACGATTTTGCTTGCACAATTTTTTTGTAACGTAAACTCAATATGAAGATAGCAAATACTGTGCAAGACTGAAAATAGGTTACCCAGTGCCGACCACAAGGTGATCACGCGATCGCCGATCGGAAAACAAGCAGCCACCATGTTTCTCAGTCCATTTCAGATACTTCTGAACGAACTAAATCATGAATTGAACGAGAAAAATCTACAATGTTTAATACACATTTGTGGAGATCGCATTTCAGGTGCTCAAAAGGAGCTAATCAGCAGTGGATGGGAATTATTCAGCATTCTACGCCAACAAAACCTAATCGGCTGCGAACCGGAGAAGATTCGTCACTTGCTCGAGATTATCCAAGCATTGAGGCCGAAAAGGAAAGATTTAGTCCACAAAATCAAGCAGTATATTCAAACACATTATGAGAGTGCAGAGGCAATTTTGAAAGATTTCGAATCAAGTTCCGATAGCCATCGACCACTGCAATTTCCGCCATATGGAACTCTGAGCAGACCGACCACTCCAGTGGAACAAGAAGACTGCTGTCGCTTGCATTGTTGCGGCTGCATTTGCAATTACAATCCATCCTGTGATCCATGTCTCTGCTGTGGGATTCTAGCGGTATTATTCTCCATTCTGACCCTTTTCTGTATACTGGCTTGGTACGTTAAAGTTCCTGAGGTTACGAAATATTTGAAAAAAAACGAGGATTTAAGAAACAGCGGTCCCTATGTTATTGCTTGTTTTGGACTGTTAGTTGTTTGTAGCTTTGGAAGTATACTGTACATCAAGCGAATTTGCAATTCAAGGAATGGAAATACCTACTCAGTGCTCCCACATAACTACTACCAGGAGACAACGAGTACTCGAGCCACTTATGCTTCATCGGAGTGTGAATCCGCAACTTCGGCACGACGGATAGATTTTACTAGACGATGTTCCTGCAGTTCCGGCCATTTGACACAGTATACAGCGGCCAGTTCTCTAGCTTCCAGAACCTCAGCCCGCCTTCCACAGATTGCAAACCAAGCTGATACGGTTACAGATGGTCCGCAGCCAGACCATGTGTTTTTCAGTCAAGATGTAGCTCTTGAAGAAGGCGAGTCGGAAGAGATGTAAAGATGTATTTGCGCTGCCATAATGTCTTACTTGATTGCTGAATGTTCACAGCGCTGTTTTCTCAGGGATCATGTAACGCTCGAAACGAGTCGTGACAGAGTTGTGCGAAACAAGTGAAAAAGCGGGCATCGACGGGTGCGAAGGTTCTAAGGCTTTGTTACTTTCTTTTCATCTCAGCCCTCGCTGTGCCTGACAGTTTATTAGAGCGCCTTACGTAGTTTCCTGTGACAGACCTGTTGTGAACATACTAAACTCACTCTTGTGTCTGCTTTATTTTTATACGTTAAGGAAATTTTCGTGTGAATTTAAGTACGTGGTCTGATATTTGTAACCACAGACAGTGTTGCTTCAGGACTGAAAGCCTACTGCACCAAACGGCCTAAGGAAGAAAAGGAAGAAAAAGATCGGCATAATGCCATCCACCATTCCACTTTTCCATACCCAATACACCTCGCGCTCCCTTACCCACGCGCTGGGGACGAGGCGGCAATTACCATCATCCCGCGGGCAAGGCTTACTATTTTAAAAGCCACTGATCATTTTAAAATAAATTTGACCCTCTTGTTTCTCAGGCTGCGGCTTGTTCAAGTTAAATTTGACTTTCCCCTTGACTTGAGTGTCTGGTGTTAACAGGAGAATTCTTAGATTTGTAAAAATGTTCATAATATTGTCTATGTATTTGTTACATTATACGCCTGTACTATGATTTTTTCGCTAGATTTAGGATCGGACGTTTAATCCTCGTAAACCCAATGCTATGGTGTAAAGAGTGATCCTCTCTGACCGGTTGCGTAAACGGATTCCACAAAATTTCTTAAGGGAAAGATGCTACACATTTCCTTGTAAATTAGTTAGTAGAATTGGTGTTAGATCACGACGATAACTTTTTAACTGATAAGTTTGAGTATTCTCATTAACTGTTTCCCAGATAACGCTTGTGCATTATGGGGTGTAACATGTTAGTAGCATGTTGCTCACTTCTGGGAGTGAAAGGGTTAAGGAAGTGTTATGATGCGTCGACGGGGAATCGGAACACTTAGATTTGATGATGATATTGTAAAAAAAAATAATGGAGTTAATAAACGTTTTGAGGGGAATACGTTGGTTTGGTCTACTTGTGATGGAGTGTCAACTGGAAGGGATTACACTTTGTTTGAAAGTAAAGAAAGGTGTCTAGGGAGCCTTGAAGCGACCTTTTAAATATTTCTTCGTCAAATTTAGGGGTGACGCTCACTCAAGATCACTTAGCGCTTGAGGTTTCTACAAGAGTTACGAGTCGACTTTTTTTTTTTCCAAAATTCATTCATTTATCACTACTCGTCTACAAATCATTTATCAAAAATTCACAGGACTACATTGTAAACAACGTGATAAAAGCAGTGTAAACACTCTGTTTAAGATTACAAAAGTTTCTAAAAATAGGCTTTCAAAGCAACCATCCAGTTAACAAAAAAGTTTCACACTGATTTAAATTTTTTTGAGAAGGTTTCTTCACGTGTTAAAACAAAACGATGTGTGCATAGACGTCAGTGGCTGAGGTGTCCTCACAAATGGCTCACTTAGTCTTGGCAAAACCAACACGATTGTTTCCCAGGTCAAACTCAGTATAATATGGGCCAATGAATACATCTCCCAAGATCCACAGGGGGCCAGCAGGGACGTCAATACCAAGGAAGCCACTGATACACTCAGTTTGGCCCATGACCGTCACCTTTGCAAAAAAAAATTTTAAAAAAATTATCCAACAGTTAAGAAATTGTTACTGGGAGCATTTGAGGTGAGGGTAGTAAAACCAACACCAATCACCTTAACCCTTTCACTCCCATGATCTAATCAGTAATTCTCCTTGCTGTCTGCCCTACAATTCTTATTATGTTAGTTTGGAGAATTCAATGTTAGGTCAAATAATAATCTCCTAATTAAATTTTTCTTTGCTTATTACTGGTGTGCTTGATCTCGTAAAAAGAAATTCTGTTGTAGTCACTCATGGTAATGAATTAAGGGTTCACCCCCAATCCTCATGAAGAGCAGATTATATCTGCACATTTCTTCATAGATTACAGAACAAAACTAAAGATTGGATGCTATGATGAGTTTGTCTATTCTCATAACTTTTTCCCTGGCTAGCCCTTTGACCCCTCAGAGTGACTAGCATCTAATTTCTCCTTACAATATCATTGCTGAGTCAAGCACTATGATCACAAGAATAAATAAAACAATCACCAACTGAAGAAGCTTTTGATTGTCAAACAAATTCTCCTTGTTAGCATCTTAGGGGACATATAGAGAACAGTATGGAGAATATCCATACTGATACTAGGGTGTTCAGGTCTATTATAAATGTATTAGCCCTCAAGCCTAAGTGCTGCAGTCTGAATAGCTGCGCAACTTGCTACAGAACCTACTCTGTACTAAATAAAGAGTTAAGTAAGCTGCCTTAAACTGTGTATGTATTTACAAAAGATATAAAAACACAAGCATGTCTTTTCATTTACATTTTCAATGACTAGAAGATTTATACTAAACCAATTAAATAATTCATTTTTGATTTCTATTCATCATAGAATCTTGAGCTCCTAACTTAAATGTTCAATAGAAATGCACTCAATGCATACCTTGAGAACATAGTCTTTTCCAGTCAGTGTGAATTTCTTGCCACCAAGGACAAAGTCAATTGGAGGGAGAGAGTCAATCTTGCCGCAATCAATTATGTACTGAAATACAAAAAAAGGAACATTTTAAACAATTTGACAATGTGTTTGTAATCGGAGATAGGAGATGCCTTGTAACCCATCTGGAAATTTGTACCATACTTTAAAGTGATTTCAAACTAGTTTGACTTTAAGTTTCCTTAAATAGAAATCAACCTTGTTTGAAACCATGTGGAACAAGATTCATTTCACACAAAAACCACACAAACATGTGCAGAAGAGATGTGTAAGCCTACTGGTGATCGGGCAAGAGTTGTTGTGGTTATCCTTATGAAAGAATCTTCACTCTTCCCAGGCCTCTACCCAGGGGTTCAGATTTAAATGAGCACAGCTTACCACTAACAACACTTTACTGGACAATGCTAGATGTGAACTTATTAGTGTTTGCTGTCATACAGTGTACTGTTAATAATAAGGTTTTTCTTTTCTTCAATAAGAACAGTAAAATGCTCCCCATCTTGTATCAATTTTTTCACAGAAACTTTCACCAATCTGGACAAAAGGTTTGAAAATTAAGGAACTGTACTGGATTTCTTGGGCATTGTCACCCAGATAATCACCAGTTTCTGCTTAATGCGTGTATTTGATAATTATGACAAACTTAAATCAATTGCTTGCATATGAAAATATTTGATGGATTATAACTACTGATATCTACCTCGCCACCAACTATTGGACTGGCACCAATCATTTTATTTAACTTCTCGACTTCAGCAGTAGGTCCGCCAATAAGTGAGGTACCAGTGTCAGCAATGGCCTGACAGCCACCCTGGCAAAAGCTTGATTCTCCATTCACAAGCACGCTGAAACAAATTATTTGATCTCTTTAAGCCCTCAGCTAATAAATGAGCCTTACTAATAAATTAGCAAGGCTCCACAGCTTTTGAAAAGGATGTCAATAAGCCATTTTACAATTGTGTGCTCCATGGCCAGGCGTTGATTTGGAGTGAGACTGAAGGTGACATTATTGCAATAGAGATTACTATCTAGTTAGCATGATGACAATTGAATTTACATTATTTTGAAAAGCAGCTATATTTTATTATAACAAGGCCAACCCTATCTTTATTCCTGTTAAAAGGCTTGGCAACCAAGCACACAACTGTAAAATGGACTATTCCAGCTGCAGTTGCTTGAATCACAGTTCACCTTCAAGAATCATTGCTTTCCTTGATTTCCGCCCACAGTTGAAATGAAATTTATACATGTACCTTTACCAGCAAGGATCATGGCTTTACCCAAAGAATGAAGAGTAAGAATACAAAAAAACATACCGAATAGAAAAACAAAATAAAACATGTAAAGTTTGTGTACACAAAAGCCAAGAGCCTACCTGTCCATCTTGAATTGCCAGTATCCCTTCTTAGAGACAGGAATATAGGTAAAGTCGCCTGTATAATACTTGGGGTCAGAACCACCAAAGATCAGTTCCCCTCCAGGTGTAGCAGATGGATCCCTTAAAATCAGAAAAAGAAAATAGTCAACATCATTCAACAAGAAGAACAGAGGTGATGGACTACATATACTATACACGTTTTGAAAAATACATGTATTTTGCTGGTCAAATTTTAACCAGAATTTCTCTCATATACTTGTACAGCTGTTCATGTAGCTAAGACTAGATTCCAATATCTAGTTCCATTGTTCACTTGGCAGAACATCACAGCAGAATTGCAAGATAACAGGTTTAAAGTCTGTAGAAGGCCATGGGTTTTCTTTCCCCAAAAACAGTTTTAGTACAAGTTATTACTCAAATCTGCCTATTTTATGCTTTCTTGCATCATTTTCACAGGAGAACATGTTACAGTAGTTCCTTCATGTGCATGTACTATAACCAGATTCATTGGCAACTATCAGTGATTATAAATTATTCATCTACAGATATGGGCTTTCCTGCCTGAGCATCGTCATCTATGAAATGCATCAACTCTTTATCTATTCACTTGTACACACCTGTTCAGATAAAATGAGAAAACTGGTTTCTGCACAAGGCCTTGCTGAACCATAACATAGAAAACTGGAACTACACCATCCACAGATATTGTGTCATAGGCCATACCAAGGAGTCCATCAAATTTTGCTGCAACAAAGGCTAATCCTGGTTCACTTGTGGCTTCAGCAAATGTTTGGTGTTTCACACTTAAGCCAGCAATCTGCAGGAAAAAAATTAAAAGGAAAGAAAAAGAGAATTTGAAATGCAAGTTCAGCTAATACATTTTCAGAAGGGTAGTGCATCACAGTTTTGAATTTCCAACATATTCACCTTATCTTCTCCATGAAATTCTTACCTTCTTCTATTATTCAAAGTTCTTCCCTGACACTTAACAACTAGAACACCATTTGAACCAAACAATTGGTTACATGGTTTAGAATTGGTACCCAACCAGCGCATTGTATAGTAATACAATGGATAGAAAAAAGTTAATTCTGAACAGATGAGAGCTTAAGACTCAAGATAATATTACACTTCACCAGTTAAGTTATAACATTAATTACCTCCACGGTATCAGTGCTGAGAAATCCTTTCATACTTCCACTGCCATATCGAATCGAAAAGCTGGTGCCATTTTTCTCATAAGTGCTAGATTTGGTGCTGTCATACTTGTTGTGCAACACTGAAGAAGGGAATGATGATAAAAAAAATACATAAAAAAGAAACAAAGCAGGACAGATGTGATTATAAACCTGTCAACCAAGATATGTTCCTTGGGGTATTAGATGAAGAAGTGTTTGGGAAATAGTCAAAGACCTGAGAGATGAGGATGGATAGGAAATGTTGACTACAAAGGAAAGAATGGAAAGCAGGAGAAAACTTAAGATTGCCAGCATCTGTTGATAGATAAGTAATCTGCAATCTTTGCTATAGAAAGCTGGAGATGAAAGTATAGGTGTAGGAGAAGAGATCAGCCTGTGAAAAGCCAGAGGTTTTTCTCACCTCCTTTTTTCCCCATGGGGTGAACTACAAAATTTTGATTTCAATACACTCATTGTCTAAATTGGGTTTAGTTCCTATCAGAAGTAATTGCAACGGTGTTTTCAAACACAATGTGCATGAGTAGTTCTAGTTCAGCCCTGCATTTCTACCAGCATTAATCAATAGGTACAATGTTGATGTATGGATTAGATTTGACCATGACTTACAACATGCAACATCACTCAGAGGGCACTTTTTAGAGGGTACCCACAAATTGGAAGAACCAGTGTCAAAGACCACTTTGAAAGGCTGTGGAGGAGTTCCAATTGAGATTTCTCCATAGTATTGAGCATCAAGATAGTTGGAAAGAGGCTCTGGACCACCATACTCCCCTGAGTACTTGTGCTTCAAGTCTAGGTGTGCTTTCCTCCGTAGATCTTCAGCTGAAATGCCAATATCTTTTAAAGAATTCCTGACAGTCCTGAACTTGTGCAATGGCACTCTACAAGAAAAAAAAAACATTAAATTTCAATAAGCATGGACAGTCACAGAAACATTGCAGAATAGGCCATTTTACAGTTGTGTGCTTAGTTGCCAAGCCTTTGATTTGGAGTGAGGCTGAAGGTCACCTTGTTGTGTTAGAGACCAGAATCTAGTTAGCATGATAACAAATTAATTTGCATTTCAAAAGCAGCAAGGTTTGTATCATAACAAGGTCACCCTTAGCCTCACTCCTGTTCAAAGGCTTGGCAACCAAGCACACAACTGTAAAATGGAGAATTCAGAAATGTTTAACTCTTTCACTTACAGAGATACATGTAACAGAGGGAAACTTTTCCCTCTAAAATCAGTATCCAGATTCTCCATACTCTCCCCCATATATCACTATTGATAATAACGAGGAGAATTCATTAAACAATCAAAGCTTCTTAGCTTGGTGATCATTTCCTTTATTCTCATGATCTTAACCAATGATTCAGCACTACTACTGCAAGGAGAAATTAGATGATGATCACCCTTCAGATTTAAAGGCTTAGGATATCAAAGGTGTAAATATGAAGAGAGGAGAAAAAATGTTTCCTGTATTGTAGAGTACGTTTAATCTAACAGAGTTAAAATTTTACAAAATGTATGACAAACAGTGCAAAGAATTCACATTTAGCCCTTGCATGTGACAGTTTTGCTCAGACCTATTTAAAGAACAATGTTCTACAGATGCCCCAATGGCCAGAGTTTTCCCTAGGTATTCTTTTCTGGATTACTGGAAAAAAACAGTAAAATACATGTGTTGTTCTGAAATAAATTATAACCTTTGCTGGAGGATACTTTCTGTGGCTGGGTACTGAAAATTCTCTATTGACTACTGATAACTTATTCCTGTGAGTGATGTATCTATGTGTTCAATGGTTTTATGAGAAACTGTACACATATCAACTAGTTAAACATTTGCGTGTTTTTTTTAATCAAATTACCTCTCAAAAAAATTGGAATAAACATTTTTTCTTGCTTAAAACTGAGACAAGAGAGTACCAAAACTTGCCCAGGAGATTTGTGTGCTTCCTATAGAACCTTCCAGTTATGTTATTGCACTTAGGAAGTTTCAATTATCCCTTATTTACATTTCATTTCTTAATTTTGAAGCTTAAAATAACTTGGAGTTTAAAAAGGTTTTCAGGTGGTAAGGACTAAGAAATTTCCCAAATCACAGCATGAAATCATAAATTTACTGAAGAAGTACTTTTCCACTTACTGCAGCGGTTGTTAAAATTCTGATAGATTGGTTTAGCTCAAATCAATCGAGGGTGGTTCTCTTTCACACCATACTGAGCAGAAAATTACACCATGCTATCTAGCAGTGCCTCACAGCAGTGCTGTACAAGTTTATCGGTGGCTAAAAGGTTATGTCATAGATATTTTATTTAAACGCTTTATGTATTTTTAGCTGAGTGTGATAGACAATATTGGTATACTAAGAATGCCAAGGACTTGAAGGTTCGATCGTTAAGTTTCGACTTTCAGTTTCAAAACGTAATTTCCTCAGTGAAAAACGCATTATTAGCTGATAAGGATATTCGTCAATCGCGAAATCGAGATTTCGTTCTAGAACATATAAAAACAAACTTCCTCGTGCGTTGAAGAAAGCTACAATAGTTTGTGTATTCGATCTACAAAATTTACGCCGTATTTTACACATTTCATGATGATCTTACCTCAGGGCAGCCTGCGAGAGGCTCACCAAGAGCAGAGCTACGAGTAGCACTAGAAATTTCATGGTCTTCGCCTACTCCACACGTACGGAAAGAAAGAGTGAGGGCAGATATTTGTTAATGACGTCTTTATATACTCTAGACCACGTGACTGGCATGAGCTTTGTCATGAGACTTCGTGTGTAACGAGTAAAATTGGAAATAACTATGTATTGTCCGTATTTAACCAGGCCACCTGGCTATTCAGTAATTTCGGCGGACTATTTTGTTTCAATTTCTTTAGCGAAAAACGTAGCAGTATTTACTTTGAAAAGTACAGCCACAAAAGGAAAATATTTCCCAAGTTATCCTAAGTCCTTGCCAGAAAATGTCTGCTTTCCAGAGCTTTTCTATTCCTGCTGCTTTCGGCTACCTGATCGATCTCAAGCCCAAGGTAATTTTGTCAGCGGTATGGTCGCCAACTGATCCTCGGAACGTCAATAATGATTAATGATTTTAGAAGATTTCAGTAGATAACAAATCACAAATATGTGAATTTTCATATATCTAAATCTTCATTCACTCGGATGTTTATTTGTACCCAATTCATTGACCAGCTCCCAGTTGGCTTGTTAGCTCAATTGGTAGAGCGCTGCACCGGTATCGCAGAGGTCATGGGTTCAAATCCCGTACGGGCCTGAAATTTTTTTCAGGTCCTACTTACAACTACTAGTTTCAGTAGTGTTCTTAGCTGCGAGGATCTTCTAATTTCATCTTTCCACCGCAGTGCAAATATGTGAATTTTCATATATCTAAATCTTCATTCACTCGGATGTTTATTTGTACCCAATTCATTGACCAGCTCCCAGTTGGCTTGTTAGCTCAATTGGTAGAGCGCTG